CATGGCTTGTGCAACCTGCTTTCTTATAGCACCTAGGGCCATCAGCCCAGGCGTGGCACTGTCCATAGTGAGCTGGGTCCTTCCACTTCAATCACTGATCAAGAAAATGTCCCACGTGCTTGTTCTCAGGCCAGTCTGTGATGGTATTTTCTCAGTTGTGGTTCCCTCTTCCCAAATGACTCGACCTTGTGTCAAATTGACAAAGTGAGATTCAGGATAGGCACCAAAACTACACAGAAAAACTGTCTCAAAAAACCAAAAAAAAAAAAAAAAAAAAAAGGACTAGCCAGCACAAGGTGGGAAATATACCAACAGAGTATCATTGGCTCAAATGACTTTCAATAGCTGTAAATGTTTTACTTAATCTTTCTGAGCTGGAAGGGAGCAAAACCATAGAAGATAGCAAAATGAAGGTAGATGATTATGAGAGCAGATGGCACTTTTCAGAGTTGTCTGTTCCGGTTATCTATTGGTATTTTTAACTCACCACCCAAACTTGTGACTTAAAAAAAAATGATTTATTACCTCCCCACAGTTCTGTAGGTAAGGAGTTGGGTACAGGTGAGATGACTCATCTCTGTTAAAGGTGGTTGAGTCTCTTCTCGGAGAGTCAAAGGCCAAGAACCAGCACATCTACATGTTGCTTCTCCTCTTGACCCAAGCTTCTTTTCAAAAGGTAGCTCTGTTCCATAGGCAAGCACCCTGAGACAGAAGAAGGGACAGAAGCTGTATCTTTTCTCTAATCTAACCTCAGAAGGCACCAAGCACTACTCCCACAATAACTGATCAAATCCAGATGGACAGGATAAAGACCCAGAAGTCACTTCTCTTGGTAAGGGCAAGTTAAGCCATGTGGTGAAAGGATCCTGTATGAGTTAATTTTCCATAGCTGTGGTAAAACATCACAACCAAGGCAACAACTTACAGAAGAAAGAATTTTTATTTAGGCTTACAGTTCAGATGGATAAGGGTCCATCCAATGGGAAGCATGGCACTGAGCAGGAGACATGCGGTGGAACAGGATACTGGAAGCTTACATCCTTTAGGTTGTTTTTTTGTTTTTTGTTTTTTGTTTTTCCAGAGGCAGGGTTTCTCTCTGTAGCTTTTCACCTTTCCTGGAACTCACTCCATAGCCCAGGCTGGCCTTGAAATCACAAAGATTTACCTTCCTCTGCCTCGCAAGTACTGGGATTAAAGGCATGTGCCACCACCGCCCGGCTCTTACATCCTTTAGTGAAAACACAAAGCAGAGAGAGAAAACTGGAAATGATGTGAGACTTTTAATTACAAAGCCCACCATCAGGGGCACTTCCCCCAATAAGGCTGGACCACTGAGCTGTCCTCAAACAGTGTCACTAACTGAGACCAAATGTTCAAATACCCGAGACTATGAGAGGCATTCCTCAAACTACTACAGACCATGTGGAATAAAGATGATAACCATAGCTGAATGCCAATAAGGTACCAGATGATCCAGTATGTGTAGAACTGGATGTTTTTGAGCTCCCTCCTAAATTCTGAATATGATTTCAGTAGGACGTCTCTATGGGTGGTATTACTACATTATTACTACACTAGATCATTATCAATAAGTTGGGAGTAAAAGTTTCCAGAAAGACCTTCCTGATATGATTCTAGATTAGAGTTTGCTGGAACAGAAATTTTCATAAGGCTTGGCAGATAAGAGTGACGTCACAGGCATTGCTCTTTGGATGTCATTGTCCTGAGATACTGTGAGGGCGAGATGCAAAACTGACCACCAGGCTCCAGCTTCTCTTGGCTTTCCTTCACTCTGCACCCAGCCTGTCTTTCTAACTGCTGGTCGATGTGGCTCCTGCTTATTTGAAGCTGTTTGTTTCCCACAAGATACCATAGCTACATGAATACCGCAGATTTCTGTAGATATTTGCATGAGCTTCTGTCTTCATCCACTTGAGTGACTGAATATGCCCAGCTTCTCAGATTTTCCTACAAACTCTGGCTTCACCTGTGCAAATACTTTAAAGGGAACAGTTAGTGACTCTTCCCAGGCCCCAACTTCCTTCCCTTTGTGACAGTCACGCACCCAACTCCTCCCACAGTTTTTAAATGTCTGCTCCCCATGATAAAACCTTGAGTCTATAACACTTGTACCAGCTCTGATTTTGTGGCTAGATATCAACTAATAGAATTCCATATGGGAAATTCACACCATGAACAAACAGAGAGAGAGAGAGAAAGAAAGGGAGGGAGAGAGAGAGAGAGAGAGAGAGAGAGAGAGAGAGAGAGAGAGAGAGAGAGAGAGGTGGGAAGACAATATAAATGGGACAGAAAAAGG